CCCCCTATCACCCTTTTTTTTTTTTTTAACCTCAATTTTCGCTGTTTTCCCCCCCCCCCCCAGCAACCCACCAATAATTCAATAATATCCCACATGAAGACTTGTTTTCATTTAGTAATAGCCAAGTGACTTGTAAAAGTTCTCACCTCTCTGATATTTCTTATAAACAGCTGGATGGCAAATAATAACTGCAGCTCAACTCAAAATGCCTCAGATAGAAGTCAATGTTGTGACAACATTTTCCATCATCGAGGAGTCAAGGGGCATTTTTGAACAGTCAACAGGACACGTTAGACTAAAATGACAAAAGATGAAATCTGGCCAGTGTCGCACACACTTTATTGAGCTCCCAGCTCCAGGCTAAAACAGACGACGTGCAGCAGAAAAATCCCAAAACAAAGCGCCGCCGCCCCGTTACAACAATAACCTGAAGCACCTACAACACTGTTTCCTAACCGCTAAACAGTCTCTTCTCCGTTTCAATGTGTGTCGGTAAGCAGGTCCAAGGTGATCAGAGCTCTGAACGAGAAACAATTCACTGGATCTAATCACCTCCAGCTCAGGATGCGATTTAATGACCGACATGTGGTTCAAAAGGCCGGATTTCCTTTCGGCGCAGACGAGGAGACGGATATCTCTGCCAGCTGTTGCGTTTCTATTCATGAACACACCGAAAAGAAGCAACAGACACGAAACACATCACTTCTGCTTACCTTGCTTCGATGCCAAAAATTTGCATAAGCGACGTCTCTCTTCGACCCTTCGTTAGCCGAAATGATGCTTTGCGCGTAGTGCGCAGGCGCGAAGGTCTGTTTGCAACAGCGGTCCCTCACTCCCCCCCAATTAAAGACACAGACACAAACCTTTTACATGAAAATCAAAATAAAGTTTCCATTTTTTGATTCCAAATGCTTGATTCCAAATCACTTGTGCTTTGGCATGTTTTTCACACTCTGAGTGTTTCAGTTTTGTTAAACTATCAAGATAACCACAGCTTTTTATAAATGACAAAACATTTTCAAGAGGAAATCTGTCAAGCCAACCTGGCCTTATGTAAAAAGTGAATCATGAATAAATGTGAGTGACTACGGTTTATGGAATGCTACATTTCACCAGCCATAGCAGACCCACATCAAAAGGTAACCATACATAAAATAAAGTCATTGACATTAGTCTGGAAAGAACTACAAAACCATTTCTAAGGCTTTTGTTCCAGAGAACCACAGTGACAGCTATTATCTAGAAACGGACAAAACATGGAACAGTGGAGAACCTTCCAGGAGCGGTAGACCAACTAAAATTACTCCGAGAGCGCATTAACAATTTGTTCAAGCGGACACAAAAGTACCTGGAACAACAGGTTCTTTTGTTGTTTTGTCATCACAGGCCTCATTTGTCTACTTTTCTTTCTTTACCAGGAAACCAACTCATTTAATAAGCCCTACCATTAAAGAATTTTTTTTTTTTTTTTTTTTTTTACAATTTTTAGCCAGAAGCGAAAAGCTTCTAGATGCAGGAGTTGTGGAGTTTCGAGACTTTTAACAATTAGTTTTGGTGTTCTTTTAGTTAGTTTGTTAGCTAGTTAGTAAGCTAGTTAGTTAGCTAGCTAGTCTATGTAGAGCTGAAGAATTATTACAGACAATACGATTAGATACTAAGAACTTTAGACTGTGGTTTCTTACGTGACAATGTTTTGTGTTGCAGTGCGCTAAATGTAAAATCACATAAATTCTTAATCCAGCTCAACAAATTGGAAAACTCTGAAATTCATTTAAAAATAAAGTCAACCCCTCACTATCATAATTAATAATTTCCCAACTATAAAGTGTTTAACATTTTCCAGTTTCTACTTCATTTTGTTTTTGCTGAGATTATCTCATTGTCCAATTAATATTGGAATGGGGGAAAAAAAAGATAATTTAAATTTGTTTCTATATTCAAAATTAATCTTTTGAACACTCAAATTGAGTGTGTCATTGCAAGAGTTTTCACCCATAACCAAACATGTGCTTTGCAACTTCACAGAAGTAAAAAAATATTTTTTTTTTCCATCATAAATTGTTCCACAGAGATGCATGAGAGTCACAGACTCTTAACAACAGGTAAACAAAATCCCTCCATTGTCTAAGCCCCATATCCCTGCAGGGTCACGGGGGGAGAGGTGCCCGTCGCCAGCGATCAAATAAGTTGGACAATTATTAGTGAGACCAATTATTCAGAAAAGCCATTGGCAAATTAGATTTTTTTTTCAACAAATAAAGAGCTTACATAAATACATTTAGCGAAGCATTTCAACTATTGTTCATTATTTGATTTTGTCAGGCAGTTCCCAAAACAGACAGAAACATTCAACGTTTCGCAAATTACAAAAACAAAAAAATATCTGTATCGTTTTATGATAGACTATTTTTTCCTTATAAGTTTGGAGCCTTTTTCCACTTTTGTAACATTGTTATCTGTGTGCCTGTGTGTGTTAGCGCGCGAGTGTGTGTGTTTATGTAAATCAATATTAATTAATTTTGCGGTTCTTCCCTAAGGAAACAGAATTAGGAGAGTTTAATTATAAAATAAATGAGCTGCATAAGCTCTACTCACAGCATCTGTGGATGAGAGAAAGACAGAAAAGGGTGTAAAAATGTACAAGACTTCAGAATAGTCGAGGCTTGAGCTATAATGCTGATATTGCACATGGGATCAATAGTATAAATTATGAAGAATTTTTTACATCTTGAGTTCTGTGAGTGCTTGCCAATACCTCTCACTAAAGTAACATTTCTTCCCAAGAACACAGCAGCAAGAACTTGGATTTCTGCTGATAGTTTCAGTTTTTGGATGTTGAAACATATCTCTAATAATTTAAGTGGAGGCTTCTCTCGGTAAATAAATGTGTTCCAAGAAACTCAAGCCACACATTAAAGTTATATGTCAGATAAAAAGCAAGACAAGTGTAGCATTTGATACAGTGAAAGTCACAGACATTGGATGAATTCTCGAGTAATGCGACGACATTTAAATTTGGGAAAATCAAAGAAATGTAATATCTGTATTTGAAAAAAAAACTGTGGCCCACATTTGTCACTGAGCCTATAGGTCAGGTGCCAAATATAAATAAACATAGTTTAAGGCTACCAGAGAACATTTCTCAAACTATTTTTATATGACACGCTACAGCCTGTAGTACAATCAGTGTTTATGTTGTGAGCAAATGATGAATAATAATATTATATTAATAAATACAAAGAGTGGAACCTCTTATGAATGGACTGAATGCTTTTACTTAAAAATTGCCCTGGTGGACAAAACTTTTGAGTCTGATCTACCAGAATGTTCTCCTCGAGGCTGAAAACTTTGGATGCTGACTTGGCATTAAGAAAGGAACCCACTTTTGCTGTTAAATCTCTGACAAAAGCTTCATTAAAATCCTTCAAATTGTATTCATTGTTGAACTTCACAATATTGTAAGGGATGTCAAACTCAATCACTTTGCAGCTTCAACTGTCTGCCTGCTCCAATAGATCAGAATCAAATGGTTGAATTATCTCGTCAACGGCGGCTCCCCATCCATGTTCAGCAAAGTCCAGGTAAAGACACAACTCCTTGAACCAAAGGGGTGTTGAACCAAAGCAATATCTAAATGTTGCAGTCGAGGACAGGATTTCACAAAAACTACAAAAAATATAACAACAACATTGAAACAGAAAAGCTTGTTAAGAATAGAAAGTATGTCAGTCTAAAACTTTGGGCAATAACTATTTATTGATTTCTTTCTTTGTTTCTTCCTCACTCTTTCTTTCTCTCTTTCTTTCTTTCCTTCTTTCTTTTACTTGTTTCCCTGTTTAATAAGGTTTCCATTTTCAACATTTTTGTGACACATAACACTTTTTTATTCATCCTTAGTCTTGCCTTTTATAAATTTTATATATTTTAACTAAAATATGGCCACTAGAAATACACATCGACTTAGAGCATGAAGGTCTATCAAAAGGAACATCAGCCCTGGTGGCATAATTTGTATGTTTGACACTTCTAATAAAATAACCTACAAAATAAATTAATCATGATTTTTGCAAACCCTGGCATTGCAGTTGCATAATTTCCCTTTTCCTTAGTCTCTAATTTGAAGGCAAGAATATTAAAAACTCAAAAAATAAATGAAACAACAAAATGTTAAAATGAACGGCTTCTGTAAAAATGCACACAGAAACAGGTTGCAGTTATAATAGCTGTAGATAAAAACAAACAAAAAACTTTTTCAATTTATGCTACTTTGACTTCGCCATTTGTCTTTCATTCGATCATTTTGGCGTTGAAATGAGTAAATGCATGTTTTAGTTAGTATAAGCTGCCTAGAGAGGCAGATAATCCCAGGCACTAGGACCCAGCAGGTGCAGCATGGTGTTTCAGTGATATGCAGCTGCTCTGTCCTGTCAGCAGAGCGCACTGTGCGCACCAGCGGGACGCGCAATCAGTGAACGGCGGCTCCCCATCCTGCAAACACAGCGCGGCCAAACCGGACAGAGGTTTCAGTGTTGAAACAACCTGAACATCATTCACCACATGGACTTTAGGAAAGACAGGAACTCACAAATGTTGCTGTTTATTCTACTCCCCTTCTCCGTTTGAAGTTGCCAGACACTTTTGTTGGGACATGGCTTCATCCGTGAGCGGCACAGAGGAGGTGCGGGTGTCGGGGATGACGCCCCTGAAGTTTGTGGGACTGGTGTGCGTCTTCCTAGCGCTTTGCCTGGATCTCGGGGCCATCGTGAGCCCGGCGTGGGTCACGGCGGAGGACCAGTACTACCTGTCCATGTGGGAGTCCTGCTGGAAGCCCGTCAGCTCCGTGGACTGGTCTTGCAGCAGCACGCTGGCCGCCGGTGAGAAAGACGCACATGTGGGGTCCAAAATGTTGTTTGGAAGTTTTTAAACCAGCTTAGCTCTGTTTTTTTTTCTTCTTCTTCAGAGTGTTTCACTGTTAAATGACAGAAATGTGGGTGCAGCAGACACCCACATTCATATTTAAATGTGAAACAAAGGATCCCCGATTCCCTGCAGTCAGAACACTGCTGAACCAATCTAGTCTGTGTGTGAAATTATAAAACATCACCCACAAGAGGGCTAAATGTTAATTACTTTATAATTAACTCTTGCCTACTTAACTTAAACCGTAGAACTTAAGAGGTATTGCGGAAAACAGTCAGTTATAGAAATCAAAGTTTTACCCCTGAGTGTAAGTCTTGGGACATGCAGTAGTTTTCTATCCGTTCTTGTGAACTTTTTTTCCTCTTCTTGCTGTAGTGTTTCCCCATTGCGCCGCAGAATGAAGTGGGAATCTTTCCCAACCAGGAGCGCTCCAGATGGGGTTTCATTTGGCCTTTTGTTGCGTACAAAATGAGCCTTTGTGTGGGTTTCTCCACCGGCCAAGGAGCAAGGGCAACTCAGAACACAGAGCTCCCCAGAGATCCAGATGCCTGGAGATTAGTTACCAGGGAAACAATTGAGGCACTTCAGAAAAGCTGGTTTTGTCCCT